CGGGGCTGAATATAGGGGTGCCTTGCTGGCACGGGGGGAACAGGGACAGTGTCTCGAAGCAACCCCAGGACTGAACCCCCCCCCCCAATCCACTCAGCGCGAAAAGAAGCAGCACACCCGGGCGCTGATCAAAGGCACCTCCTACATCAAATCCAACCTCGCCAAGAACCAGGCCGAGCGGAGACACCCCCACCCGCCCGCACTATGGAGGAGGCTGTGGGGCGAGACTGAGGGGCACTGGCAGGGCTGCTGGAGTGGGCCCCAGGATTTGGATGGCAGGGAGCAGCTGGTTGGGCCTGAGGGGGCATGGCAGGGGGCTGTGGGGCTCAGGGCTGGGAGGGCAGGGGGCTGTGGAGCTCAGAGCTGGGAGGGCAGGAGGCTGTGGGGCTGGACAGAGGGGCACTGGCAGGGTTGGGGGAGTGGGGCCCAGGGCTGGGAGGGCAGGAGGCTGTGGGGCAGGACTGAGGGCTGGGACTGAGGGGCACCAGCATGGTCTCCCCCCACTCTCTCTCAGGTCCAGGCCTTCGTGCAGAGGAAGCTGCTGGACCCGGAGCAGGACGTGACGCTGGAGTCGCAGCGGCTGCATGGGGGGGTGGAGCGCGAGGTCCGAGGTCCGGCAGCTGGGGGCCATTGCCCTCCCCTGCCTTCTGCGCCGCAGCCTCCTGGGGTGAGTCCCCCACCCCCCGCTCTGTCTGAACTTCCCCGTCCCCCCCATCCCCTCTTGGGGTTCCCCAGGGGCTGGATCCCCATATGGGGGGAGCCCCCGGCCTTAGGGGTGAGTACCTTGGATGGAGGGCTGTGCCCCCCATCCCCCGCTACTGGACTTGGGGAATGCAGGATCTTGTCCCCCCTCCCCCCGCCTGTGCCCCATTGAAACGGGGCTCAGACCCGCCCTGAGATCTGCAGGTTCGAGGGGGTAGGTGCCCGCAGAGCAGTACTGATGCTTTGCTTCTCTGCCCCATGCTGGGGGCGCCGGTCCTCTGCGAGGAGCATCAGTACTTGGGCAGTGGTATTAATGCTGCAGTAGCGGCATCGAGACAAGCAGGAGTGTTGGTGCTGGGGAATACTAATGAAAACCCGGTGTTCTCTGGGAGGAGAGCTAATACCCTGAGAATGGGGCAGGGGCTTTAATACTCTGGTGGGAGCATGAATACTCCGTCCAGGGTAATAATACTCTGAGAGCATCGGTACCCGACATCTGGGGTGGGAGGATTAATACTTTCTGGACTGATAATGCTCTAGGAGCATCGGTAGCCTATAGCGGTGAGAGGAGCATTGATACTCTCTTAGGTATTAATACTCTGTACTAGTACCTGGTCTCCCGGGGGTACCAAAGCTGTACTACTCTGGCAGGCGGCTGTGACGACGGGGCCCCGCAGCCCTTCCCGGAGAGCCGGGGGGGAGGTGGGCTGGACTGGGGTGCCTGGTGAGGATGGGGGGTGCCGGAGAGTGGGGGGTTCAGGGGCTGATTCTTGGCTGCGCTGACCCAGTAGTCCCCCGCCTCCAGGTCCCAGCAGGTCTCGGCCTACAAGCTCTCCATCCATAGGCTGGGCCGGATGGCGCTCGCCCAGCGCCGGGCCTTCCTCACTGTGTGCCAGGCTTCCGGCTTCCCTCTCTACAAGGTGAGACGCACACTTGGTGGAGCAATGGGTCAGGGAGCGGGGAGGTCTCCCCACAGGGCAGGAGTGAGACCCTCTTCTGGGGGTGTGACGTT